TTTTTACCGAATTTTTTACCTACTACTCACAAGGGGATGGAGACCACATTGTCGAAAAATTTTTAATACACGCGGCCCCGCGTATTATGTGAGAGAGGGTAATCCATTACGTACAAACCATTGTGTACAAATGGATTAACCCTTTTTTTTTTTTTTTTTGGATCTTCAATTAATCTATTTTATTAGTAACAAAAAAAAAGTCCAAATCAGGGCTTTGTCATACTTTGAAATGCTACAATAAATCTTAGTGGAAACAATCAAAAGGACTAACAAAAATTTCAATCAATTTCACTGCTCGGTCATCTTGACAAAGACTAATTTGTTTTTACTACAATAGGTTATAGATGCTTCCCAAGAATATACCCAAAAATAGATCTTTCGTTACAACAAATCATCACATATTTAGAAAGATGAATTAAGACAGCATCGAAGAAGAACGAATCTAAAATTTCCACTATACTGTCCATATAGTCTAATAGCGCCTAGTAAGGAAGAAAAAGACGTCGTCTAGTATTGTCCAATAAAACACAGTGCATGAGCTTATAATACGTTCAGTAGGGAAGATTGAATAGCAATAAAATATTAAAGTAAAAAAAGTTAAAATTATACCCATTCTTTCGTCTGTAAGAATGTTATGTATCGTTATTTTTTAGGATAAATCCCTTTGTACAGAAGTAGGGATTCCTACACCCTCTCACATGAGGTGGGACCCTCTCACATGAGGCGGAACCCACGCGGGACCCATCTCAATAAAATTGTAAAAAAAATTTCCCACCCCCATGTGTGAGTTGTCGGTGGGGGTTCACTTGTACACGCAACATGATTGTATTTTTTAATCACAATTTTGGCATTTTTCTGTAACAAAACTACTTATAAGAACCCTCCCTCAAACTCAATTTCACCATTCAAAACTGCACAATTTTAAGCAAGACAAAACACACACACACACACGTGAAACTTACCTTAGAAAAATCTACGATACTATTAATTCTGCTTCTCATGACATGTTCCCTGGAGGCTGAAGCTCAAGTTTGTAGGCCAAGTGGAAATATAAGGGGCAAGAAACCTCCTCCTGGAAAATGCAACAGAGAGAATGACTCTGATTGTTGCATCGAAGGCAAGCTTTACACCACCTACAAATGCTCGCCCACTGTGTCCGTCCATACCAAAGCGATACTAACCATAAACAGCTTCGAGAGGGGTGGAGATGGGGGTGCCCCGTCGGAATGCGACAACCAGTACCACTCTAACAACATACCAGTTGTAGCATTATCAAGTGGTTGGTTCCAAGGAATGCAAAGGTGCTTTCATAATATTACTATAAGTGCAAATGGGAAGAGTGTGGTGGCTATGGTGGTTGATGAATGTGACTCTACCATGGGATGTGATGATGACCATGATTATCAGCCTCCATGTAATAACAACATTGTTGATGCATCGAAAGTAGTATGGGAAGCTTTGGGAATTCCTGAGAAAGACAGGGGTATGATGGATATCACTTGGTCTGAAAACTAGGACGCACTATGTTTGGCCAGGTAAATTAAAATAAATAACTGTTTTCGTTGGTTAAGGTTGAAAATTACATATTTTGAAAGTTTACTTTCAAGATACGAAAAAAGCAACGGATTCAAGTATGTTTGAAAATAAGAAGTTACTTGAAAGTAACTTGTACTCTTTTTAAGCTTAGCCAAACATAACCTTGTTACTTGTAACATGTACTATATTAACTAAGGTTTTCTTTCTTTAATAATTATGTTCCAATCTCTGTCAATAGTGAAAAAAGTGGAAGTGATTATTCAAATAAGGAGTGCAGAACTAGATGAACAATAGTACACTACTACATTACCGAAACATGTAATAAAGTGGCGTCCACATTGAAGTGATGAATTTATGAACAGAGGCCAGCAACTAAATCAATTTAATAGAGAATCCTTCTTAGATTTGCTGAGAGCAAAAAAAAAAAAATGGTACGAATAATTAGGAAAAGTTTACTATCAACAATTTTTCAATATTGAGAAATTTGTGTTAATGGTTCTAGTTCATAGCAAGATGAACAGACTCATAGGTTCATGATACACATTGGTGGCATTTTGGTAGAGAGGATTGAATAGCAACGAACAAAAAAGCTACACTAGTTGTGTCCATTGGACTGTACAGTCCAGTCTAACTTTGGACACCAAACACAAAAAATTACTCCGGTGCATTACTCCTTAGCAGTTCAATGGCAATTTCCAATGTTTTTTTAATGGATATCTAAAGATATATTGTCACATAACAGAAGGAGGAGAATACATTAATTACTGCAAGTAAAAAAGTACAATAGAACTATAGCCACATAGAACCCACTCCAAACTTGAAACGAAACAAGATGGATGAAAATGAAAGGTGATTCATATACTTGAATCCTTATGAAACCAAGTGGTCATAAACTTGGGGAATCGTTGTAACTAAGGGCGTGTTCGGTATATATTAAAATTGGATTAAAATTGAAAAACCCGTCGTTTATTGTTGACTTTTATTAGACGAATGGGATCCAATAATTGCTATATTTTCAATTTTAATTCAATTTTGAAATGTACCAAACAAGCTCTAAATGTGCCAATTCATCATACCCTTAAAACTTTGCAACTCAAGAAATAAGGATGGCAATGAAACAGAACGGGGCGGAGCCCTTGTCCCATTTGCTACTCTGTTTAATTTTTATATATTTTTAATTTTTGATAATTCATTTTATT